CATTTTCTACCTGATATATAAGGAAAGATTAGCTCCAGAAGGTGTTGTAGGTCAGTTATAGCTATAGGTTGTTTATAACAACAAGATTTAACACAGAAATATCAGGAGAGACATCCAAACTTCCCAAAGACTCACTGAAAACTCCATGCTCATGGTCTAACCTGTCAGATATGCCTCTGCTCACAATTTCATTTTTTGGTTTGGAGGGTGAGCAAAGCTGTTTTTACGTAACTCAGATGTGTCCATGAGTTATGGGTATAAGGAAGGAAGATATACACAGGAAGATTGCTAGGTGGTCAGAAGCTACAAGTTTAAAAAAGAACACACATTTCAGAAAAGAGTAACAAAACTGCCAAGGTTTAGCAAGCTGGACATTGCTAACAGAGAATCGGATTAAATGGTCGAATAATCCAAGGTAAGGAATGCAGACTACTAAAAGTTAGCACTGTGGGAAAGAGGGGAGGCGAGGCAAGGCAAGGTGAGGCGAGGAGAAATGAAGAGGAGAGGAGAAACAAAGAGGAGAGACTGAAGCAAGCAGCAGTCTTCCTTCTGTCTCCAGGACTTTCTACCAGCACAGTAACTGAAGCTTCTTTTCAGAAAAGCATCTCAGCGTACAATTATCAGCACATATATTCCAAATGGAGAAAGGATATGTAGTACTAATAGCTAGTCCAACACACAGGAGTCCTACTACAACTACTTTTGTTGGTTGTTTACTCAGCTATTGGATGTTTACAGTATGTGTATTGCTGCCAATATTCCATTAATATAATTAAATTAAGCTCATTACAGAGCAAAAGGAATTAATTCTGAAAGCTTATTATAAATCTTGTACCCTATATATCAAATACATTTCTACCTCCTTGTTGAATGGAACAATATTCTTTAAAGACATTACAAGCTTGTAATTTATAAGTATGCTGTCCTTGTAACCGTGTAATGAAATAGCTATATTTAAATACATATGCATATTTCTTTTTCCAGAATATCCCTGACTTCTTGCCTTTTCATGGGTTTTATCTTTTAAGAAAGAAATCTGTTTAATTAGAAAACATTAATCAAGAGCAAAAGAATAGCAATAGGTTCTTTTTTTTTCTCAACATGGTGTGCTGCCAGTTACAAAAAATTTGCAAACACATGAAAATTTTTATTATAATATACAATAAGTAATTTATGTATTAATAATAATAAAATTATGTCTCATTAAAACACTAGCAGTAAGAATAACAAGAAAAAAAAATTGAGTGACCTTTTTAAATCATAATTGTGTACTATCATTAACAGTGTTAGTCTGGATTTGCCCTTTTGAAGGGCAAACTCCATTAAGATTTCATTGCAGTGTTGAATAAATAAAGCAAACAAAATACATAAATTCAGACCATATTAGCACTGATTCATCTAGTTCAGTCTCAGTGTATCCTGATCTTATTTTATTTAATAAATATGAGGATGTGTGACTGAACACCAACCAAACAGGTAAGGACACTTAACATTTGGAGTGTCAAAAGTAATTAAAAAATAATCCTATAATTTCTTGACTTTCTGTAAACATAGTTTCCTTCTTAGGGCTCCAACAAAAGATCATTGAAGGTCATAGGAGATTTTCCCACAACTTCTTAAGCATTGTCTCAGATTCTGTTGCTGTAATTGGTGAATCAAATAATCCATTAACTATAAGACTACTAAATTCTTATACCCCCATATCTCTATCAACAAACAGCACAATTCCAGTTTTATCACAATACATTTTCCAATAATATATATTCAGCAGCAAGAACACCATCAGTTATGTTTATAAATAGTAATAAAATGTATCATGAGAGTTTGTGTAAAACTCCTCAGTGAAATCCTGGCTGTCAATGACATTGTTCAGAAAAAATCTAAGAAAAAATCAGGATGTTTTATAGAACACAGTAGCTGAAACAGCAGGAGCCTCCACAAAATATATGGCTACCTGACAATTCATGAATCTTATCTGAGCCTTTTCCATGAAGAGTGATAGACAGATGCAAGATCTGGCCCCCTGATTGCTGAAGGAATATGGATCTGTGCATCTGAAAGAAAGAACAGGAACCCTGTCGGGAGTACAAGAGGAAGCAAATGAGCTCCAGGAGTATCACTGTAGCAGAAAAATAAATAAAAGTCAAAGTAAAGGAAAGTTTTTTTCTTTTTTTTCTTTTTTTTTTTTTTCAAGTAAAGTAATCATGAAAAAGAGACTTTTGTCAAAGGAAATACCTTGAAAGAGGATTCTGAACATTCTTTGTAAGACAGAGTTTCTCATTTTTGGAGGTCAAGTCAAAGCAAAATTCAGTTGTGAGGACTAAGCTTTTGGTGAATTCCACAGTAGAAAGAGTCACACCCAGCCCCAAAGAGCTTACAGGCTAAATAGATAACAGAGTGAGTGAATGGATCTAAGAGGTGAAAAGCACAGGAAGATGAAATTACTTGATCCATGACAGTATTAAACGTAAAAGCTGGCTCTTGTGTGCTCTCTTTCAGCATTTCCTCTGCTTGGCCACAAAGCTTTCTCTTGCAAATGAATATATTTTTTTTCCAAGAAAATTAAGTCAGAACACATGTATAAAATACGAGCAGACATTCCTGACAAGTTCAAGATGTAATTAATTTCATTGTAATTTTACCCTTATTAAGGGATTTGCAAATACTTAGTTTGTCCAAAGCATACACATTTTCCAACTAAACAGATTATCTACCCCTGGTAGCATAATAAAATAACAGCAATTAAAACTAGACTATATTCGCAGTGTAACACTATTGCCAATGCAGGGTCCCCTACTAATCCCCTTAGGAGGAAACTGTATCACTTATTGCTGAGTCTGTCAAACAAAATGCTCAAAGTTTAGAAATAGTTTTCATCATCTGTGTTTCCCCTGAACTGTATTAGATAATAGCTTTTAATCAAAACCAGCATTTTTAGCCTACTAGAATTGACAACTCTGACGCCAATAGAATATCTGGAAGTCTATTTGTGATATAGGTTACATTATATCGTAGTTGATTCTGCTTTGTGATTGTTGATTTACGTATTTTTAAAGAAACCTGAGTATTCAATATGAATCCCAAAACACTTTTATCCCAGTCCTTCTCCAAAATTTTCCTACAGCCATACTGTTGTGATTTGCTTCTCTTCTGAGCCTGAAAACAGTTTCACACCTGCTTAATGCTTTCTTAGCAATTTCACAGTAATATGCAAAATCATGTGTGTAGGAGCGATCAACACAAGCATATCTTTCCTAATTATCAAAATACTCATTTTAAAAAAAAAGTAGTATTTGGGAAACTCCTGATATAATTGAATTGTTTTATAATTAGATAGTTATAATATTTATATTCATGATTCCTGAATTATTCTGGGAAGTTTGGAATGACCGATGGACATGCAGTCTTTAAGACCTGTGTTACAAACCTTAACAAATAACTAACAGCATATTTTAATTGAGAATGCAATTGTTTGAAAAGTTCTTTCAAGGTAATTAAATCGGTAAGTCTGAATTCTCCCAGATCCATGCCTTATTCTATTTTTAACTTATTCCTGTGCCTATGTCCCCTGCAATTTCAGGCAGAGCAGGTAGAGAGTGAAATCAGGAAAACTATATCTCAGAAGCATCTCCTTCCTGTGACAATAGACCTACACGCATATGCATACACCTATATATATGCCATATTTAGAAAAATCTCAACTAGCACTACTCCCCATTTGTTTTCAAGATAAATTTTAGTTCTACCAGAAAAGACAAAGTACAGCCGATCCTTTTAGGGTCTGCCAGGCAGCATATCTTAGTTCATATGGCCTACTATCCCTGTTCCTGTTGTCCCCAGAATACCTTGATCTTTACAACAAATGACAGTCATCTGGAGATTCTGCAAATCACTTACCTCCAGATCTTCATTTTCACGTTTGCGGCCTGTGTCACTAGTATGCAAGTGGAATTTCACTCCCTTCAGCAATGCAAGTTTGGTTATATTTGTATTTTACAAAATACTTCCTTCATAAAAATTAAAAATATTTTCCTGAAGATATATGCTAAAGAAACATGGACAGTGTATCTTAAAAATGAGAAAGTCTACATGGCTCTAAAAAAATGGTTAAGATAGTAAATAAGGCCTAATTCTTTAGGATGTGTAGCATATGTTGCAGTTCCAATGATTTCAGTATAAAATATGCTGAAATGTACTGCAGAATTATTACTTAGTGCATCATATTTATTTATAATTGTTGTATTGTTGCCTACATTGAAATAGTAAAATATTTGAAAATATTGCAGAGCTCTTAGCTCCAGTGCTTAAAATATTTTAATCATGATTTTTCATCTACTATCTCTCTTTTTTTAACAAACAAAAGCATTTCATGTAGCATTTGAAGTTTATGTTCATTTTTCTCCCTTCCAACATCTAGTGTTTCAGTAGAATCATAGAATAATTTGGGTTGGAAGGGACCTTTAAAGATCATCTAGTTCAACTCCCCCGCAGAGAACAGGGACATCTTCAACTATGTCAGGTTGCTCAGAGTCCCACCTAACCTTAACTTGAATGTATCCAGGAATGGGGCATCTACCAGCACTCTGGGCAACCTGTTCTGGTGTTTCATCACCCTCATCCTAAAAAAATCTTTCTTATGTCTAGTCCGAAACATTTATTTAGCCTATGTGAACTCTAGTTGATTATCTGAAGCACCAGAAAAATAGAGGTCAACATGTGCAACTTTTAATTCAGAAAAAATACACAAAAGTGAGCGGAAAGAAAGGAACTATGATATTTTCTTCTCAAACATTTTTGTCCTTTCTTTTGTTTATTCAAAGCAACACAGTATCAAGGATTCTCAACACCAACTGACATTTCATATTTTTAACTTAATTCAGCTTTACTACTTTCGCATCCATTCTTCCCTGACAGGGAAAATTTACAACTTGCCGTTATAAACACTTTATGATGACCCTGTCTCCCATATTCTTCATTCTAATCATAACTATGCCACTTACCATTCATGTCAGTTTAGATATATAGAAGAACCATAAAAGTAAAACCTTCTCTCCCTGCTCTCTTTGAATTATTTTTTCAGAGGGCCATAAAAACAAAACTAAAATGAATTCATGTGGAATTTTGAAGCAATAACAATTGCTTTTTCCCTCCCCATAGGGGAGAGTGAGGTAAGTGCAATGATGTCTTCGAATTTCTGATTGGAAAGTAAGCAGCTTCCATGTCTGCTTCGTAAATTTGTTTAACGCTAGAATTTCACTAGCCCACAGAGGTGCACATATGTCAGTTTTCTGTTCCTGTATGCTCTTCAAACAAACAAAATAGGTAGGAGAGGACGTTTGTCTCCATACTGCTTTGGATAGCAGCTGTGGAAACAGTCACTGAAGATGTAAAACTGCAAGGACACTTTGTAGTAACTGCAGCAGACCAGAGTGAAGTCGCTTCACTCACCCTCTAAATAAAGTTCAAAAATCCTACTACAGCTAGAAGAAAGGATGAGTTAGCACATTGTAAGGGACCATACCTCAGGGAGTGAAGTACTCCCTAATACCAAAGTAGGAGTTTAGTGAGCAGGGAGAAAGAAAAATAATATTTACTCAATAGAAAAAAGGTCTCCCAACCTTGCCCATTGGTTAACAGATAAAACTACCGAAATTACTACAGGGGAGTGGCCTTTTCAATTGTTTATGAAGGAAAAATTGCTGAAAGTTTTTCCCAAGTTGAATATGTTACACTTGTTATTAATTCTCTTTCTTGTTTCATACACAGACCTGTGCTTACAAGTGGGAAATTGACTGCTGCACCTTTGTTGTATCTGACAGAGTCATCCCAAGAGTTCGTTGGGTTTCAATTTTGTCTTAAAGAACTGCATAACCAACAGGTACAAACCTTGTCTGTCCTTGCCCCAGGCAATGTTTAAGATGGATACCAACTCATTTCTGTGTCGTCTTCCATGCCTGGTGTCATCTCCTTATAAGCAGGTGGTGAAGCAGCAGAAGCAGAAGGGTGACATTGTAGTGAGTGTTTGCTATAGGCTGCCTGACTAGGAAGAACAAGCAAAGGAGGCCCTCTACAGATAGACAGGAGTGGCCTTGTTTGCAGGCCTTGGTCCTCAAGGAGGGCTTCCTTGACCCTGATATCTGCTGGAGGGATGACACAGCCAGAAATAAGCAATCCAGAAAGTTCCTGCAGAACATGAAAGACAATTTCCTGACCCAATTGACAGAGGAGACCACAAGTGGAGGTGCTCAGCAAGAAATCATACTAACCAACAAGAAGGAGCTCATTGGGACTGTGAATGTCAAAGGCAGCCTTGGCTGGAGTGCCCACAAGATGGAGTTTAGCATCCTGAAGGGAGGGACAAAAATGAATAAGATTGCAACCCTGGACTTTGGCCTCTCAAGAGAACTGCTTGGAAGAGTTCTATTGGATAAGGCCCTGGAAGGAAGAGGGGTGCAAGAAAGCTGCTTGATAGTCAAGGATCACCTCCTGCAAGCTCAAGAGCCATCTGTCCCCCTGAATAAGAAGTCAGGTAAAAATGGCAGCAGGATGAACAAGGATGAACAAAGAGCTCCTGACCAAACTCAAACACAAAAAAGGAAGCACACAGAGGGCAGAAGCAAGGATGGGTAACTTGGGAGGAATACAGAAACACTGTCTAAGTATGCAGGGATGAGGTTAAGAAAGCTAAAGCCCAACTGGAATTGAATCTGTCCAGGGATGTCAAAGACAGCAATGGCTTCTATAAGTATATAGGTGATAGAAGGAAAATGTGGCCCCATTGTTCAATGAGATGGGGGACCTAGTGACATGGAACATGGAAAGCACTGAATGCCTTCTTTGTCTTGGTCCTTACTAGCAAGACTGGCCTTCAGGAATCCTAGGTCAAACCAGAGGGAAAGGCTGCAGCAATCCTCTGATTGGCAGAGGATCAGGTCAAGGAATACTTAGGCAAGCTGGACATATTTATGTCCATGGGCCCTGATGGGATGTGCCCACGAGTGCAGAGAAAGCTGGCAGATTTCATTGCGAGGCCTTTCTCAATGATCTTTTGATGAATCATTGCAAATGGAAGAAGTTCCTGAGAACTGGAGGAAAGAAAATATCACTCTCATCTTCAAGAAGTGCAAGAAAGAGGACTCGGAGAACTACAAACTGGTCAGCCTTACCTCATACATTGGGAAGATAATGAAGCAAGAACAAGAAAGCTAACATGAGCAGTCAGCATGGCTTCACCAAGGGGAAGTCATACTTGACCAACTTGATAAAATTTTATTATGAAATGACTGGCCTGGTAGATGAGGGGAGAGTAGTGGATATTGTCTAATTAGCCTTCAGGAAGGCCTTTGACACAATCTCTTGTAAGGTCCTCGTAGAGAAGCCATTGGAGGCTGGATGAGCAGTCAGTAAGATGAACTGAAAACTGGCTGAACAACTGGGCCTGAGGGTGATGATCAGTGGAACAAAGTCTAGTTGGAGACCAGTAACTAGCAAAGGAGAGGATGATAGGCTAGAGGGTTTTGCTGCCATCCAGAAGGATATTGACAGGCTGGGCAAATAGGCTGACAAGAACCTCATGACATGGAACAAAAAGTGTCAAGTCCTTCCCCTGGGAAGGAACAACCCTATGCACCAGGGCATGCTCAGGGCCACCCAGCTGGAAAGCAGCTTCCCAGAAAAGGCCCTGGGGGTCCTGTTGGGCACCAAGTTGAGCATGAGCAAGCAGCATGGTCTTGTGGCAAGGAAAGCTAATGGTATCCAAGGCTGCATTAGTAGCAGGTCAAGGGAGGTGATCCTTACCCTCTACTCAGCACTGGTGCGGCCACACCTGGAGTTCTGCGTCCGGTTCTAGGCTTACCAGTACAGGAGAGACATGGATATAACACAGAGAGTCCAACAAAGGGCCATGAAGATGATTAAGGCATTGGAGCATCTCTCTCAGCCTTTCCTCACAAGAGAACAGAGACTGTTCAGCCTGGAGAAGAGAAGGCTCCATGGGATCTTACCATTGTAGATAAATACCTGAAGGGAGGGTGCAAAGAGGGTGGAAGCCAGGCTCTTTTCAAGGGTGCCCAGTAACAGGACCAGAGGCAATGGGCACAGGAGGCTCTGACTGGACATCAAGAAACACTTTTTTTACCGTGAGGGTGACCAAGCACTGGCACAGGTTGCCCGTGGAGCTTGTGGACTCTCCATCCTTGGAGGTATTCAGAAGCTGTTTGGACATGGTCCCAGGCAATCAGCTCTAGGTGGCCTTGTTTAAGCATGTGGGAGTTGAACCAGATGACCTCCAGAGGTCTCTTCCAACCTCAGCCATTCTGTGAAAAGGGCAAAAGGCAAGGAAAGGGAGGAGCAAAGTGGTTTGAGAAGGAACAACCACTGGAAAATGGAGAGAAGGAGGGAATGAAAAGTGAGGTTTGCTTGTAAGCAGGACCCTCGTTTTGCCAAGGCTGCATCTACTTAGTGTAGTCAGCCTGTATTCTTATCAAACTCCATTTCTAACTATTTTATCTGAGTGTCTTCTGTTATCTGTGTACAAGTGGTATGCTACCGAAGTTCACACCAGACTAGCTGTGGAGTAAGAAAATTAGTCTAGACCACAGTTATGAAGGGATTTAAAGCCATAGCACAGGATATACTAGTGAAATAAGCTTTTTCCTGAGCACAAGTACTTATTTTTGCTGTATATGGTTCATGTGGGTCCTTACAAAGGCACCCTCCTCCTGCTTTTGTTAATCCATTTGTGTCCAGACACGTCCATGCCATCTGTGTATGCACATATTGGGAATTTGTGTTTAGCCTGGCTATACCTGGAAGCAGAGAGAAGCAGATGCCTCTTGCCTCTATGGGGCAGGAAGGGATGAAACTCCCACAGCCCCTCAGCCTATTGGGTGTTGCCACCCTTAACAATCATCCTTACAACTTCTGCTCCTCCTTGAGGTAAATAATTTATTTGTATGTCTTTTTTAACCTGAAAAGCACATCACAATTGTTCTACACAGTCCTGTGCATGCAGGCACTCCAGCCTTCTCAGAGTCAGATTAATCTGTGCAGACAAAACCCCATTCTTCCTTTGCAGCCCGTTGTTAAACTATCATTGTTTGTAACCAAATGTCCTCAGCTTGGTTACAGTATCTATTTAACAGTTTCAGTCTTTAACATGGATTTTTTTCTGCTGTAAAATTTCCATTATTTGCTGTTGAGCTTTAATATAGAGAAAATAAAAACAAAGCAAACAAGTTTTAGCAGAGGGTTAAAGAAAAATTATGTCACTTAGGTATCGTTCTGTTTGTTGTCACTAGAGCTTATTAACACTTGTCTTTAAGGGATAATATTAGCAACCAAATACATGCTTTCCTAAAGAAATGAGAAACCTCTCATCTCACAGTCCAAGTACCAGGACTTATTTCTTACTTACAAAACTATTAGATTGTCATCCCAACATTTCTAAACAAGTTTATCACTGTGTATCTATTTCTAGTTATTCAGAATAATAGCATAATGCTCACACATCTTAGGTTTAAGTCGCTTTTTCAAAATATCAATTAGGGAAACGTATTTCTTGTTAATGTTCTAGTAAACATTTACATGATATGATTTGACTTTCTCAGTCATTTACCATTATAGTTAAAATATATTTCTTTGAGCTATTTTAGTGTAATAGATCTGATTTATACTATGACTTCTCCAACAATATGGATCCTGTACACCCTTCCCTTTGCTGTTTTTTACTATACCTGGAGAGAAAACTGTGACTCTCTTGCTTTGTAACCTCTGTCAAAACCTTCCTCCCTGCAGGAGGGATACAAAAACAGGGACACAAAGCCCAGATCTGGTACAGCATGGTATTTAACCTTGGCTCAGGCCTCTGAGAAAATTCCTGAGCTGTGAGTGAGAGCTATGAAAAGTCTGCAGGAGGATGAGAGAGGTGAAGTTGCAGAGAGAGGCAGGACAACTGAGATGGGGAACATGAGTGGCTCAAGGACTCAAGAAGAAAATCGCCAATGTGA